GCGAGTGCGCGCCGGCCGGCCGGACTCCCGCATGCCAAGAATGAATTTGCTGAGGCCTCAGATTTTGGCTCCCTGGTGCTTGTGGACCCGGAGTCCTGTCTTGACACCGTTCTTGAGTACTACTTTCGTTTTGCAGACAAACTGGGTTCCCCTTTTCCACCCAGCCCAAGCCCCTAACTTTGAAGGGGTAAAGACAGCTTTCCATGGCCCAAACACAACCAGAAGTCTGGGAAGGGACAGTGACCCAGACCCATGCTGCTAGATCCAAGGTGAATAGATTTTGTCTCCACATGATTTCTGGCTCTGGTGATATTAGAAATAATACTAGGTGTGGTGAGCCAGGAGGATCGCTGGGAGTTTCAGGATAGCATGGACTACACAAGACACTAAGCTGACCTGGGTTACTTAGGAAGATCTTGTCTTTTTTAAAAAAAACGAAAGAAAAAAGACAAGAAAACAGAAAGAAAAATTAGAAGATAGGCACAATGGCATATGCTTGTAAGGCCAGCTTTGGGAGGTGGAAAGTCAGGGGGATCAGGAGTTCAAGGCCAGCCTGGGCTACATGAGACCCTTTCTAAAAAAAAAATAAAATAAAACAGAAAGGAGAGATAGCTCAGCAGGAAAAAGTGTTTGCTGTGCAGGCCTGGAAGTCTAATGGGTTTTTGTTTTTGTTCTTTGAGACAGGATCTCTCTGTTTAGTCCTGGCCGTCCTGGAACTCAATTAGTAGACCAGGGTGAACTCGAACTCAGAGATCCATCTGCTTCTCCCAAGTTCTGGGATTAAAGTCAATGCCACCATGCTGGGCAGCAAACTGAATTTGATCATGAGAGCCCATTTAAAGGTGGAAGGAGGGGGCCAACTCCACAAAATTGTCTTCTGACCTACACACACACGTGTGGTACACACACACACACACACACACACACACACACACACACACACAAATGGTAATAATAACTTTTTTTAAAAAATGGGCTGGCCTGCTCCAAATTATATGACAGACTTTGAAGATCCCCATGGAAGGTCTCATTCTCCCTGGGTTGCAGAAAGGGGATGAGATAGGGGGTCAGTGGGGGGCAGGGGAGGAGGGGATGCAGAGGGAACTGGGATTGACATGTAAAACAAGTTTGTTTTAATTTAAATTTAAAGAAGAAAAAAGGAAAACTAAAGTTTAAAACAAAGTAAATAAAGAAAACAATAAATAATGGGAAAATAGGCTAGGCATATGGTTCAGTTACTAGCATTCATGAAACCTGGGGCCCATCCCTTACACCCCGTAAACTTGGCATGATGCTGAAAGCCTGGAATCCCAACACTTGACATGCTGAGGCAAAGGGTCATAAGTTCAAGGTCATATCAGATACCTGAGCCAGCCTGAGCTACAGAGACCTTCTCTCAAAACGAACAACAAAACCCAAACAAGAACAGCAACAGAAGAAAGGAAGGAAGGAAGGAAGGAAGGAAGGAAGGGAAGAAAGGAAAGAAAGTAGTAGTGATTAAACAGTTAGGGTGGTCTTACTATATTAACTGTAGAAGGAAACTAGACCTTGTGGGGTTTGAGTGCACCAAGTGCTCTGGGTTCAGAACGTGGGCGCTGGCAACCTCCCTGGAGGGGAGACGCCACACTGCTCTGAAGCAGGTGAAGAGGTTTGCGATCACCATTAGAGTCATACAGCCTGAGAGACCTTAGATAAGGTCTCCAAACTTGGGCAAGCAAGACTTGGCAGTTCTATTGGCTAATGTCTGGCTTTCTGGGAGTGCGATTGGTTATCCTGTGGAATCACGCCCCTTTTTAGGAGATTGGAGCGGTAACACCTCCTTTAATGTTTACTGCCTTTCCTGGGACAGGGTGGGGGGCTGAAGCAAGGCTTCAGCACCACAGACAGCGTCTGACAAGGTGGAAAAGCGCTGCCCGGTGGCGGCAGCCCAGATCCTCTAACCCAAGTACCACTGTCCCCAGCCTAACCTCATCCTTTTTGTTAAAAAAAAAAAACAAAAAACACCATTTTTTTGTGTGTATATGTGTATGTCACGATACACGTGTGTAGGCCAGAGGACGGTTTTCAGGATTCAGATCTCTTCTTCCACCACGTGGGTCTCAGGAGTCGAACTCGGGTCGCCAGTCTTGTGGAGGGGGAGCAGATGCCTTTACCCGTGAGCTGTCTCTGCGGCCTTATTCTTATTCTTGTACGCCCCTTCACGATCCGGCTTGTCAAGAGTGCGAATCAGCTTGATTTAACCAATCAGGAATGGCTCTCAGGAGGCCCAATTGCAAGATGCCCTGGAGATTGAGCCAATGAGAGAGCACACGCCGAAGGTGCTGCCGCGCTGGAGAGGGCGGGCCAATCAGAGCGGCCCACACAGAAGGGGCGGTGGCAGAGCAGGTTCCCAGGTGACTCCTCTGGGGTTT